TGAGACTCCTATCTCCAATAAACCACCAGAAAACCGGAAGTGGCGCTGTAGCTCAAGTGGTAGAGTGCTTGCCTTGAGCTGAAGAGCTGAGGGACAGCACACAGGCCCAGAGTTCAAGCCCCACGACCAACCAAAAAAAAAAAATTTTTCCTTTGCCAGACGCTGGTGGCTCACGCCTGTAATCCTAGCTACTCAGGAGGCTGAGATCTGAGGATCTCAGCCCGGGCAGGAGAGCCTGTGAGACGCCTATCTCCAATAAAACACCAGAAAACCGGAAGTGGCGTTGTAGCTCAAGTGGTAGAGCGCTTACCTTGAGCTGAAGAACTGAGGGACAGCGCCCAGGCCCAGAGTTCAAGCCCACAACCAACCCAAAAAAAAAAATCTTTCCTTTGTCTTTTTGGTGCTAGGGATTAACACCGAGCCTTACACATGATTAACACAAGCTTTACTTACTGAGCTACAAATATCCATGTCCATACATACATATAATTGTTGGTGGTGGTGGTAGTTATGGAGTTTCAACTCAAGGGCCTGGGTACTGTCCCTGAGCTCTTTTTGCTCAAGGCTTGTGCTCTACCACTTTGAGCCACATTGCTACTTCCAGTTTTCAAAGCCATGCTGGCTTTGAACTGCAATTCTCAGATCTCAGCCTACTGAGTAGCTAGGATTAAAGAGGTGAGCCTCCAGTGCCCAGAACCACTGAGCTATATTTTCTTAATTTAATTCTTTCTTCTCTTTTCTTCATTCTTTGTCTTTAATCATGTCTCTTTTTTATGACAATAGGAGTAAAACTTTGATATTTCTAAAAAAAAAAATAGGGTGGTTTTTGTTGTTGTTGTTGTTGTTGTTTTGGTCAGTTGTGGGGCTTAGATTCCAGGCCTGGATACTGTCCCTGGACTCTTTTCCCTCAAGGCTAGTGTTCTACCATTTTGAGCCATAGAGCCACCTCTGGCTTTCTGGTGGTTAATTGGAGATAAGAGTCTCACAGACTTTCTTCAGGCTGGCTTTGAACCAGGATCCTCAGATATCAGCCTTCTAAGTAGCTAGGATTACAGGCATGAGCCACTGGTGCCCAGCCACAAAACAATTTTTTTTATTTTTTTATTTTTTTAGAGTCTCACAGACTTTTTTTTTTTTAAAGAAGTCTGTGAGACTTTTTTTTTTGGGGGGGGGTCCGGTCGTGGGGCCTGAACTCTGGGCCTGGGTGCTGTCCCTCAGCTCTTCAGCTCA